TCCTACCTCTGGGAAACTACCCGAGAACAACAGCCGTTCGCCTTTCACCTTTGAAACCAACTGACTATCCTTTTTTTCTTCCAAAACTAACTAACGTCTCATTCTCAAACCAACCATCCCACCTTTTTTCAATCTCATCCAATCAAAACGCGTCATACATCTCCCATTTCTTTATTTCGATAACACAAACAAATTTTTACCTACAATTAAAAAATTTCCTAAAACTTATTTATAAAATAATATTTTTCTACCAATTCTTATGAACTAACAAAACATATCTTTCTAAAATCTATTCTATTGTCCTAATTACTGCACAAATTTATTTGGAAAACCCGCTTCCATTGTCTAGGATTTCACTTAAGCACTTAAGCTTATGCAGGTCACTCAAATATATTTTAACAAAGAAAATAATTTATGCATATCTTACGTTTTGTTCAATACAGGTAATCCAAAATTAAAACACTTTCATTCTTCGAAATGTTTGTTGTTTATTATCCTACTTATCTGAATTATTTTAATATTTTTGAACTTTGAAATATTTTAAGCAAACCAATATTTTTCTTGATTTTACATATCATAACAATATATATATATAATATATATATATATATATAAATATATAATATATATATATATATATATCGAGTACCTTTAACCTCTTTCACAATGTTGTGTACATCTCCAATTTCATACATACTTTGTATATTCCATGTAGCGATCTTTTAATATTTTATTTAACAAATTCCTTTATAAAAGGTATAACAATAAAAACCCTATTGAGCTACATCACAGAACGTTTTCGGAATAACTATTCCATCATCAGTGCTATCTGAATGTACATGTTTGAATCCGCTTCATATATGGGTAAAAACCCTTTAAATGGTGTTAGATTAACTTTGAGTTACATTATTTTTAAATTATAAACTATGATGTTTAAGTTACAACAGTAATCGATTACATGGCAACGTAAGACTCCACTGGAGGTTGCTAGTCCTTAGACGAAGTGTCTCTGAGGATTTCTGTAGGTACTACTGCGATGTTTACCATCTAATTCTAAGCCTTAGGTATTGTCTGTGGTCATTTTCGAGACAATCATCTGCTTCCACTAGAGTTTCACTATATCTGGCTTCTATCACTTAGGTTAGCCTGCAGACCAATGTAGTTGCCCGGATTGTGGCACGTGAAGCCGTGTGAAAGTTGAACGTCTTCGCTCTTCTTCAAGTTCCACTCCTATCGGAGAATGGAAATCATTCTGGCAATTATAATTTTGTTGTTTATGCGCCTGAATAGTTCAATTGAACTGCATCCAAACCATTCACGGAGATTGCGTAGCAACGAGATTTTACGTCTTCCTACGCTTCTTCTGCCTTTGATTTTACCCTGCATTATATTTCTTCGTAGTTCGTATTTTTCACCTCTCATGATGTGCCCCAAGTATTCCAATTTCCTGATTTTTATGGAATTTAAAACTTCGTATTGTTTTCCTAGTTGTTCGAGAACTTGTTCGTTTGTTTTGCGATCCATCCATGATATTTTCAAAATACGTCGGTAAAACCACATTTTGAATGCTTCTAGGTTTTTAATGTTGGATTTTCAAAGTGTCCAAGCTTCAACCCTATACAAAAGGTTACAGAAAATATAACATCGAAGCATTCTTATCCGGAGCGATATATTGATATCGCGATTACAAAAAAGTTTTCTCATTCTATTAAAAGTTGACCATGCAATTTCAATACGGCATCTTATTTCTTTTGTCTGATCAGTATCTTCTGTGATCCATGCCCCAAGGTATTTGTACGAAGATATTTGTTCAATTTCTGTATTATCTAGTACTAGCTTAACTTTGATGTTTTGTGCTTTTGTAAAAACCATGAACTTTGTTTTCTTCAAATTTATTTATAGTCCATAATCGTTGCAATATATATTTAGTTGTTCAGCAAGGTGTTGCAGTTCTTCTAGTGTTCCTGTCAGAAGGACGGTGTCGTCAGCATATCTTATGTTATTAAATGGCTCACCGTTTATTATAAGGCCCTCACAGATCTCGGCAAGCGCTAATTCTGAGATGGCTTCACTGTATAAATTGAATAACAAGGGTGATAAAATACACCCTTGGCGGACCCCACGGCGAATCTGGATATCCTCGGTCAGGTCATTTTTAACTTTCACTTTTGCTGTTCGGTTCCAAAAGAGGTTACATATGATTCTAATGTCTCTACTATCTATGTTTTTATTTAATAGAATTTCTTTACGCCGATTATGCTGCACTCTGTAAAATGCCTTTTCAAAATCAATGAAACAGGCATATACTTCCTGATTACTATCTAAGCATCTCTGCGAAAGAATATTTACTGCAAACAGTGCATCTCGTGTTCCCAGTCCTTTCCTAAATCCCGTTTGAGTATGTATTACTTTGTCTTCATCTAATTTCTTATGTATTCTATTGTGAATTACTTTTAAAAACAATTTCAAGACATGACTCATTAAGGCTATGGTGCGATGTTCATTGCACTCCTTTGCATTAGCTTTTTTGGGAAGCAGTATGAATGTTGATTGGAGCCATTCTTTAGGTATTATACCTGTTCTATATATGTTATTGAATAGATCCAAAAGAAGATCAATAGATTCAGTATTCACAATTTTGAGTAATTCGATCTGAACTTCAAGAGATTTACCATCTTTAGCTTGTTTCATTGCATATTCTATTTCTTCTTGTATAATGTCAGGTCCAGTCATCATCATCATCAATTAGCCTATATTTGTCCACTGCTGAACGTAGGCCTCCCGTAAAATTTTCCACCTCTTTCTATTTTGAGCTTCTTGCATCCAGTTTGTGGTGATGCGCCCGTCCATCTAGTCGGTGGTCGTCCTCTGCTTCAATGTGCATCTTGCCTTGATCGCCATTCCAGAATCTTTCTGGTCCATCTATCATTCGTTAATCTGGCAAAATGTCCGGCCCAAGCCCATTTAGCCATGGCTATTTTTTCAACTGCATCTGTGACTCCTGTTCTTCTTATTATTTCTAGGTTTGGTACTTTAGCTCTAATGGTAATACCTAATATTGATCTTTCCATAGCGCGTTGTGTAACTCTTATTTTATCTATTGTTCTTTTTGTCAGAATCAGTGTTTCTGCATCATATGTAAGAACCGGTAAAACGCACTAGTTAATAACCTTTCTTTTTAAACAAACTGGGATAACTAGACTTGAAAATATTATTCAATCTACCAAAGGCCCAGTATCATCCTTAAATTCTTTTGGTGCTTCCGTTCTCTCTTTGTCTTCAAAAAGTTGTGCTATATATTGTGTCCATCTCTGCATTTTTTTGGTTTATATCTGTTATAAGTACACCCCTTTCATTTCTTAGTTGCCTAGTTTGAAGTGTTGTTTTTTCATTCCTGTTAATTCTCGAATTCTTTTATGCATGTTAAAAAAGTAATATTTTTTCTCAATTACTTCTAGTTCTTGGCACTGCTCATGTAACATTCTCTCCTTAGCTTCTTTTATTTTATTTTTAATTACCTAATCGATCAGTTTCATTATATTTAATTGGATTTTTTGTTTTGAATGATTTCCTTTTATTCATTAATAGTAGTATTTCTTCAGTCATCTAGTCTTTATGTTTTCTATTCTTTGGTTTTAAGTTTTCATTTGCTGTTTTAATTATTGCTACTTTTATATTTTCCCATTTCTGATCAATGTTATAACTACTTTTATTCAGTTCTTGGGCATTACATAGATTTTCAGTAAGAGTTTTTACAGTTTGTTCCTTTGTTTGTGGTTACCTCAATCTCTTAATATCAATTCTACTTTGTGTGGGTTTTTTAACCAGTTTTAATTTGGTTCGTAATGTGACTACTATGGGGTTATGGTCTGAACCGATGTCTGCTCCAGGGTAAGTTTTGGCACACAGTATAGAAATACTGAGATTTCCATGTATAAAATCTTCTTTTTTGTAGCTTAAAAAGTGTATTAGCTATTACAAATTCTTCCGTCTGGCAAAATTGTATCAAACGGTCACCACGTTCATTTCTATTTCCTAGACCATATTCCCCCACATATCCATCCACTCTTCCCTGGTCTACTTTGCTTTACTATACCTTTTTTAGACTGAAGTTGTATTGATAAGATCCTATCCGAATAAGGAGTAAAACTTCTCACAGAGTAATTGACCTTTTTTGCAACTAAGATAGCAACACCATAGTGATGATTGACCTCGTTGTTACCTGAATAATACATGGTTCCATTATTTGTAATTTGTTTGCCTGAACCTGGCCACTGTACATCACTTATACCTAAAATATCAATTTGGAGGTTTTCCATTTCAAGCAGTACATTCGCTAATTTACCACTTGCGTATAAACTTCTGACATTCCAGGTTGCTATTTTCAATATCTTAAGTCCACAGGGATTTCTCTGGTTTACGACCTGGGAGGCCCTGTGATCTACATAATCAGTAAGTTTGTTTACTCTACTTGTCATTTGCTATTCATGACTTTACTAGGGGTACTCTAAGAGTCTTTAATGCGGTGGTTCCCCGTTGCCTTCTGCATCCTTACGCCGTTGACCTATTTTTCGATTCATCCGCCTTTAGGACCAGTTTCCTAACCCTTGGACAAAAGAGTGCCCTTCCACTTATTAACTCATCCGCCCGCAGCCGTTGGTCATAAGTGGGGGATTGCTTATACCGGCAATCATTCGGTGAATTACCTGTTGGTCCACGGGAGATATTTTATTTCCCTCCTAACCACAGTAAAACGGGTCGGGCATTCCCCTATCCACCACCTGGGGACGCGCTCTCTAGAGGTTACAGGTTCCTCTGAGAGGGACGTTTTCTGAGGACCAGTTATTAAGAAACATCCCTTGTTTATAATGTTCGATGTGGTAGTTCCTGATAAAAAGTATTACCTCTACAATAGATTCCCTACACCCGCGACTGATCTCATGACTAAGCCTAACCAGAGCTTTCAGGAAAAACAGGAAAGAGACTTTCAAGTAAAAATCTTAATAGCTTTGGCATTTATTAAAAAAATTACATTCAATATAAAGATTAAAAACAATTTATTATATCAGTCTATATCAGTTACATTTACAATTGTGTTCACTATAAAATAAATACATAAATAAAAAAACTAAGAAATATTTTATCTAATAGCTACTTAATTACATGTTATGAAATTGAAATAGATCTAAACTTGGCAAGTCTAAATTTAACTCTAAATCAGGCTCCGTAATTTTTTTAAACCTTTCATTGACGAACTGATCCACATTTATAACTTCGTCTGAACTAGTTGAGTTGTCTAACAAAGTGCCACCTGGGTCGACTGTAGTTAACATTAATTCGTCTACTGTATTCCTAATATTTGACAAATGAAGCAAAGAATTATCTGACAACAGTTCTGGCTCAATATGTGTGGTCTGATCTTTATCATTTAAAGATGTGGCATCTTTAGACTGAACTGTAGGTATGCAATACGAAGGAGACTTTCTCAGTTCATTTGAGTTGGTAAAGTAATCATATTCAAGATTTTTTGTAACATTTTCATCTAAATTCACGTGATTTCTATTATGTTCATCCAAGGTCATGTTTGAGTTACCCATTGTGTTATTACTTTGTATGTGCTGGTTCTCAATCCCTACACTTGAATCTGTTACTGTTATCTTTTCGTCAACTTTAGATACAGTCACAACAGAAGGTGCTATCTTTTTTGTATTTACTTGTTCTCTACGAAAAACTTCTTGCACATTTTTCAAAGAAGAACCATTCACATTTGAAATCGTTTCATTATTGACTATAAATGGGTCTCTTTCTGTTTTGACATTGTTTTCTTTGGTTAATTGATTTTTATTTTTTGGTTGATCTATTGGTTTAAAAAAATCAGTTGTTGTTATCAGTTTAAGAACCGTCACATCTTTATAAAGTTCACTATCATTGAATGTGTAGCATCCTGGATTAAGACCAATAGCATTGCCTAAAAAAAAACATTAATAATGAAACTGAACTGTAAAATTAAAATATAAATTTTACAGGTATATGATGGTAAATCAAGTTATTATCAATTTATTTGTTCACGGGATGTCCCCATTTTTACAAAAATAGAATATCCTAACCGTAACAAAAATACTAAAACTAAATACTAAATTATTATTAAATATTGTTAAACAAATGATTAAATGTAGATGAATTAAATTTTCCCGAAAATCATATTAAAATGAAATTAATACTCCAAGTTAAAGGTCACACATCTTCTATCTCTAACATAGTCAAACAGTACTTAAATCTGACACATTTTATAACCACCAGGTCATAAGATTGACTAAAGTAATTTCTCAATATCTGAATTCTGTTAATAGGAGAGAATTTGAAACAATTAGTAGTATGGTCAAGTAGTTTATAGAGAAAACTAGATCAATTTAGTTTTGTTATCTTCTAGGGAACTGATATTTAAACTTGATCTTAGTTCCACCATGTTCTTTAAATTTAAGGGTACAAATCCGGAGCTACTTATTCTGAATTTTTTCAAGGGTGTAAATATGGTTAAAATAGTATGGTGACCATACTATTGAAGCATAAGACAGGATGCTATGAAAGTAACATATAAAATTCTATATGCTTTATTTGACAAATTGTAGATATGAGGGATAAATGACAAGGAACTGTCAAATAGCACATCCAAATCTCTTATTTCAGTCACTCTTGAGAGAAGGCTGATAATAATATGATAGTCAAACATAACATTAGTGTTAGATTTGTTAAAGGATATAACAAAACACTTATTTTTATTCAACTGGAAACAATTGGAAAAAGACAAATTATACAGGGAAGTCAGGTCTTCTTGGATCCTTAGACAGTCAAAATTGAAACTTTGAAATATAGCTTAATGTCATCAGAAAATAGCAAAAATTGACAAACCTTTATTATCTCAGAAATATCATTATTAAACAAGTTAAAGAGAAGAGGCAACATGTACATCTTGTGGGAAATCTGAACTGGCCAAGACAAGAATCGAAAGTGGACCCTTTATAAAAAACAAACTGAACTCTTTCATCAAGATAACCTCATAACCACAAAAGAAACCACTCAGGAATGCCAATACATGCATTGTAACTTAAGAACTAGAACTGCTTAGTGCTAGTTCTTAAGTTACAATCCAATCTGAAAATCTGGTAGCCAAAGTTTAACAATTCATTATCTAAATAATTGTTATTGCATCATTGTTACATTGGAAGATGGAAGTTCGAAGTTTATCTAATCTAGTACATATTTCACCAAGATTCTTATTTACAAGATCAGACCTTAGTCTGGAGGTAAGAATCTGAATGAACATATGTTATGTTTTCTCTGTCTTGCTCTATGGCTATGCCCTTGAGATGTATATATACAGAGGATACTGAGAATTCTATGAATACAAAAAGTTACCAATGATAAGATAAGACTACAATGCATGAGTAAACAAAATGCTAACCAAAATCAAAGAGAGAAAAATACAATACTTAGGTCCTGTGTTGAAAGATGAAATATATGAAGTACTGCAAATCATACTAAAAGGTAAAATACAGAGCAAAACATCAGTAGGAAGACCAAAACTCATGGCTGAAGGACCTGACTAGATGGTTTGACTGCTCATTCACACATCTCTTTAGTGTAGCAGTTTCTAAAGCTACAATTTTGATTTAGATCTCCAGTTTTCGAAAGGACACTGCGCAATAAGAAATAATTGTAAAGATTCTAATGCATATTGTGTATTCCATATTATTTATTGTGTATTATAGAGTGTAAACCACAATTTTTAATATATTAAAGATCTGTATTGACTCTTACCTAATACTTTATCAACTTCAACAAAATTTTTGTTTTCCTCAACTTTTTTGAAGAGAGCACTAGTTAACAGCAACACATTATGTAATAAATTGGTCAACTCTTCACAAAATTTAATTCCTCTTTGAGCTACAGAACACCTCTGTGTAATATCAACTAAATAATTCCAAACCTCAAAATTGACATTACTGTTATCTGACTGTGGCAGAGGTCCATGATCTGGATATTTTTTAATATGCTGAAGCATTTTCATTTTACCCATATAAGCTTTACAACATTTCGGACATCTATACTGTGATGCTATTTTTCTTGGTCTTTGATGAGTGTCAAGTACTGACATGTTTGTATTTGGGGGAGCCTCTTTAAACTGTGCAAAATCCGATGTAGGTATTTCGTAATCTTCTTCAAAAACATTTGAACTTCTTTTATCTATAATTTCCACTTTTTTGAAATCCTAAAATGAATTGTTTAAGTGTAAGAACATAAAAAAATACTATAAATAAGTTTAAGTATTACACTGCTTGCCCATAAACCCACTTTGCAAAAGAAAACTACAAAATCTGAAACACATTTTATGAGAGCGGCTTGAGTACTTAGCCTACAGAAGAAAAGCAAAATTTTGGAAAGGTGGCATTTATTTCTCAACGTAGTCTACTTTTAGCTCTATACACTCGACCCAGTGATGCTCCAATTTCTTTAACCCGTCTGAAAAATATATTTTCTCGAGGTCTACAAAGTTGGTGAAGTAGGTCTTCATGGCGGCAATAACCCTCACATTACACTGACATTTCTGCCCAATGAGTGAACTTTTCAAGTTTGGAAACAAAAAGAAGTCACACGGGTCAAATCTGAAGAATACAGTGAATGGGGCGGAAGTTTGTAACCCAATTTGGCACCTATGCTGCCACACGATCAATTTGGTCATGTGGCAGCAGAGGTGTGAGCCAGTGCGTTGTCATAATGGAAGAGCACTTTTTCTTCGCCAAAATGGGACCGTTTTTCTGCAATTTGCCGTCGAACTGACCCAATATTTCGTCATAGTATTATAGATGGTCATAAAATGATAACCATCACCTTACCGGCCGATAGGACAGCATTCGCCTTCTTCAGAGCATATTTGTCAGATGAAGTGCACTGCTTCGACTATTTCTGGTCACAGGTGTGTACCAATGGATCCATGTATCGTCGACGTTCCCGAAACTCCTTTCAGATTGCGCTTAAACAGCGTCAAACACTACTCTGAACTGATTTCACGGTTGTGCTTGTTGTCCAGAGTGAGAAAACGCGGCACCCATCGCGCCGACAGCTTTCTCATGCCCAAAATTTCATACAGGATATGACCCACACTGTCTTTTGACATGCATATTGTCTTAGTTATATCGCGCACCTTCAATCGGCGGTCTGCCAATACGAGATTGTTGATTTTTGTTCACTTTTTTGCACTTTTTACTGCTTCTTTTACGCCCACTTCCACAAGCAGTCTAAACAAAATGACGCACGGTCCGATTCGGCTGAAATTTTGACATTAGTTGTCTACGAAAAGTTTAATGAAACGATAGTAAATTTCTCTTGCGATAGTGGGGCCATCGGGCAGTGAGGTTCGACGTGACGTAAATCACCTTATCGAGAAATTCTTCCCAAGTGAGCTAGAGCTCTTAAAGATCCGCCGTTTGCATCCTCATCACAAATTAACCATTCGTTTATGTCATATTTAGACAACGAAAACAAAACAGTGATTCAACCATATCTTCATTTAAGGGGAAAATTTTCATCTTCAGTTGATTCAAGCCATAATTTATTCCAGGCTCTTTTCAGTGTTACTTCCGAGCCCAAGCATCCACAGCATTGTCAACTGCGTGTTTTAAATTGTTTCCTTTCCAGCATTCTGGCAAAGAATATTACTCTTCCATAACTAGGTTTTGAATAAATATTTTCCCATATCTTCGTTTGAATGTGTTAATGACTGAATGATCCACTGGTTGTATCAATGATGTATTCGCAGGCAGAAAAGAGTATGTGATGTTTTTATTGTCACTCTGCAGCATACCGGCTTTAGGATGGACAGGTGCATTGTCCAAAATGAGAATCGTCTTTGGTGAAAATTTTTTTGCAAAGAACATGAATTGATTAATAAATTTTCACTTATGTTGACAATATAACCTATGTATGGACCCTGACAGTTAACAGAGGTGAAGGTTAATAGAGAGAAGGATAATTCAGGTTTCACTGTATGTTAAAATGATGAAATTTTGAAAGAAAAGTTGGGCCAGCATATTTAAAGAACTCTAGTTCCCTTAGAAAACATTTTTTGATAGACAAATTGACAAAATGAGTTTGTAGTTTTTCTTTTTGTGAAGAGCACAGAACATTCATGGACACCCTGGATAAAAGCGTATTAGAATGGAACATAAAATAAAAAAGAAAACAATAAGAACAGGGCTAAAACCATATTGATAGTTAAAAAAACTCCAACTATACATACAAACAAAACTACAAATAAATAAAATGAGAAAGTATCCCTGTGGAACAGAATTCTCTATATTTTTTTCTTTTAAGACACATAAACATTGTTAAGTTTGAAAATAATATTTACCAAAGATTTAATTCACTTTAATGTTATATAAACTATAGAGTAGCAAAAGACACATACTTTAAAAGACCAAATATCTTAAAGGCACATTTCTCATAATGTAACAAGGAACAGAAATATTATTATATACATAAGTATGGATACTAACCTTTACAATATGCTTAGGAAACTTTACAACTCTACCAGATCTTGTTCTTGGGGCAGGTTTTAAAATTTTTGCTGTATCTTGTTTAACTTCCTCAAGTTTTTTCTTTTTTCTTCCCCTTTTCATTGTATCTCCCGGCTAAAAATTAATCAAACTAATAGATATTTTTACCAAAGTACATAATTTGTTTTGTGTAAATGCTGTAGTATATCCAATAGTCCCATTTAGATAATATATTATAGAAAAGTTCCGTAGAAAATTTCAGACAAGAAATTACAAGATCCATGTCACTTATTACTCAACTCAGCAACAAAAGTTGTGCGGACCTTGAGAGGCTTCAAAGGACTTCCCTGATGTTACCAGCAATTAAATGAAACTCATACCTAAAGGACATCTTGAGTTGTAAGAGTTAATTAATAGTTAGTTTTATGTAAATCAATGTACAAATAAATTCATACCACTGATGATCTTTAATAACATTGGGTTTGAATTTTGATATATTATATTTTCTGGTTTTTATTTGATGATTTATGTCCAACATTGCACAATCATCAGTAAGTGAAGCAGAATTCATTGATATAAATTTCATCTCCATAGGCATCGTTCCGTCTTACTACACTAGTACCGTTGGATCTTATTAATCTGGGAGTAAAAAACATATCATTTAAGCAATTACCTAATTATTAATACTTACAAGAAGTCTATCAGTCTGAAATTACATACCTGCGGTTTTGGTTGAGAAGGGTAAAACACTCGATAAACATACTTGCTAGGAAAATCACTTTTCACTTCACTACCTTCAGCACTGTTTTGAACCTTATTTTTAATTATAGGGGCTAATATTGGAACAGGTAACTCATCCAAACCAATGGCAATATTTGACAAACTAGGGGGAGCAGACTTTTCTTCTCTAGCAGGATGTAAGTTAAGTTTCTGAAACTAATAGAATATTTAGTATGCGTCTATATTCTTTGTATTTAGTTTGTTAATTTATAGGTTATATATAAATCGTATTTACCTCATTGATTTTTAAAAGGTATGGCACGGCCATATTCAGTGTATTTAAGAAACCCGATTTTAAAGACAGTTACAGATTATTGACTATTATTCCAATTATTTATAAATAAAAGTACAATGTTAATAAAAGTACAACTAAATAATCAACCTAAGTAAATATACATTTCAACATTTCATATTCATTGTAAAAGACCACAGATTGATTAAAATGTGATAGGTGACATATGACATCCTCATCGCGGAATTCATATATGCATGAAACGCAACCTTATATGTAAGGGGTAGTCTCTCTAAAGCTGGATTTATAGTTTGACGGACTGTAGACGCAGACGCACTGGAAAAAGATCAACATAGACTTTTAGTACTCCTACCTATTTATAAATGAACGTAAACGCAAGACGGGACGTAAGCGAAACGCACTGTAACGGAAGAGTTGGTCAACTTTCAACTTTTACAGTGCGTTTCTTACGTCTGACCAATCAAAAGAAAGAATGGGTTATGTTCATTGCACCAATATTGAAATATGCCAAAAATTGATCTGGATCTTCTGTCTTCATCTTTAAAAAATAATTATAAGCATTCTCTATTTTTCTATTACGGTTTATTGGTCTTGTTTTATAACGTCTTGGTCGCCTTATTATTGTCCTTCTAGTTTTTTGCAATGCTACTGCACACAGCACAGCAGCAATCCTACAGCGCCAAGGAGCATACCTTCGTATATTTCACAATCCATTCTAACACGCAAAAAGGATAAAAAAAATATTATAATAAACAATAGTATAAACACACACCCTTTGTTTATTATGAATTCTGATTCCTATAATTGTATAATTTATAGGTTATATTGAATGTTGTGGGTCACCAATTCTTGTCTTTACTCATGTGCAAAAATTCCACTACGTCCATTTATAAATTGAAAAAATATTTACAGTCCGTTTCTTACGTCCCCAGTGCGTCTACGTCTACAGTACGTCAAACTATAAATCCAGCTTAAGGTCGATTCAGACACATCAGTCACGTCTCGTCACCATCTCGTCACAGTGATTGCGCCGAATCGAACAATCCGTCATACAAAATATTCTTTAATACAAATATGGAACCGGCATTCACACTCATCAGTTGACGAACAGTTTGCCAGCTGTCAGATAGTTGATAGTTCTGTGACCAAACAGGACCGGTTCGGTACCGTGACTGTGACGTGACTGATGTGTCTGAATCGACCTTTAAGGTGCAGTCTCTTTTATTGTCGTTTAGTCGCATGCGTTCGACGCAAGCTGCAGTCGCAGGCGACGCGCTGTGCACTCCTCAAATGGTAACTTTAAAATAATAACTTTAAATTAAAAATTTTAAGATAAAACTTTATACAAGCGGACTGCTTTATGCATCCGACGCAAGGAATCGTATGCGTCTGCTGCATGCTGCATCCACTGCATGTGATAGCAGTCGTCTCAGTCGTCTGCAGCAACTGCATGCGTCTATTTCATAAAACACTAAAAAATTTAACATAGAATTGAAAGTGTGTAGGTTATCAACACCAGGCAGATTGTGTTTCTTTCTACAATACGAAGGTATTGTTTCTGTGTAGATTTGAACTTTATAATTTATATTTTATATTTTGAATAATAATAATGTTTAACATAAACAATGCTACTGTTTTCATAATTGCCGAGAAGAAACATTATCTACCAACTAACCTTAAAGTGACAGCAAGTTTTTCTTTTGGTGCTACAACTCTTTTTAACATTTTTGAAGGAGATTTCGTTATATCTTCCTTAATAGGACATAATACAAAATCAAACTGATTTTTCGTCAAACGAACGAAACTATGAAATTTGGTCTCATCATCAACCAGATATTTACTTATTAAATTGGATTGGTATCCTTCTTCAACCCTCCTCACATACATTTCATGTGTTTTATACTCTTTTTTGGGTTATCTAGCATCATTTTAAAATGTTCTCCTATAATCATTGCTCTTTTAATACTTAAATATAAACTTGTCTCTGTAGATGCTCCATTATTATAAAAACTCACGCCGTTTGGTTAAATATCAGCTGATCTATCACGCATGAGATATCATATAAATGCTCAAGAGAGACCACCCCAACCAGTGCGTTAATCGCTTGCGACTGCTGCTGGCGTCGAATGCATGCGACAATCGCATAAAAGAGACTGCATCTTAATTTATAATTAAACACAATAGAAACGTAACGTAGTTATTTTAATTCCATTACTTGTAAATATACCTGGGAGTAAAATATACCTGGGGATTACACTGTTTAGCCATAGTATCCTTACAATTTCTGGTAGAACTCTGTGGAGTCCAGGTGCTCTCCCGTCAGTTTTCTTCGATTTGGAGCATATTACTTCCTTTGAGATTTTTGGTAATTATCTTGTACGCATCTCCCCAGATGTCATTCTTGAGGTTATCGCACATTTCTTTCCAGCATCTTTTCTTTTTATTATTTATTTCCTTTGAAAGTTTTTTCTTTAAAGTATTTAACCGCTCTGCCTCTTCATCCACCAGTTGGTTTTTTCTTTTTTTATTCAGTGACTTTTCTTCTCGGTGCAATGTATACTCTTCTTATCCCTTCTATGTTGTCTGTCCACCTATATGCGTGACTGCTTATTATTCTATCTTGTAAGCAGCACCTTCTGGCTAGCTCTTTGATTTTTTCTTCTCTCTCATCTTGAATAGGATGTGTCTATGATGGGTATATATTTCACCTTCCAGTATATCCCATTCAGCCGTTTTCCTCCTTATGGTCGCCCATCGAGTTACTCGATGTGGTCACCGCAGCTAGCGTGACATCTATATGAGTCCGGCTTTTCCCTTTCACAAAGGTTGGTTTGTCGTTTTCAAGTGCCGATAGGTTCATTACATGAATTACCTCATTCCACATAAATATCTCCTCTGTCATCATTCTGTGGTGCTCCCATAGCACAGATTTCGTATTTATGCCACCCGCTATAGGAGGCTGCTCAAAAACTCATCTATAACTAGACATATATATTAACATGTTAATATATACGTCTAGGCAGAAACCTCGACTTCTTCGATAGGTACCTGTGCGCTAGTTTATACGGGTATACTAAGAGGAAGAGAAGGTGGGTGTAGCTTAGTGTAATCTATGGCCTTTTTCATTGTTTTACGGACATTCCAGAATTCTATTCTGTGTGCTGCATTACACAGAACACCAGCATATTCTTTAACACTCTTTTTCGTCGTAATTTTTCTTCGACAGCGATAGCACATATTGGATATCACTGTGGTCTGCTTCTTTGCAGCTAGCCTTTTCTTGGCTATGGGACCAGCAGTTTCTGCAACTAATAACTTTCAGACGTTTATTTAATTAAATCGCCAGCGATAAGAAGTATTTTGTCGTAATTTTTCGTTGTATAGAGGTCACTATAAAGGCAGCTTTACATCTAGGCTATGCAAGTCTCATGCTATGCAAGTCCGTCTTGCATGGCACATCTCTTGCCTAGCTTGACCTTTTTACATCAGAGATATTTCTGTGCAATTTTAGATCCCACTTTCATTGTTGCCAACAGAGAAAATATTTATCAATTTGAGGTTATTTTATTTTAAATAAAAAATATAATTAAGTACTAAAATAAATAATATAATAAATAAATATACACTATTTATGGTTATTAAAAGGGTGAAGGATGTCATCCAAAGAAAAGAAAACATTGTTATTGTTGAATATTGCTGTTGTAGCAACAATCATCCATAGTCAACGACTCACCCAGTCGTTTTTACATTAACTTTAGTCATAGTATATCTATTTATCACCACTTAATAAACTTAATTTAAATCAAAACACAACAATACACATGTGGGTTAAGGAACGCTAAAGATAGAGATAAAGTTATGTTTTATTCTGTAATCTATTATAAATTGTTATGTTGGCAACATGAATTTTAACGATAAATTGCAAGAAAATTACATGAAAAATAGAACATGTTCTAATTTTTCGTCTAGCACAGGAATTGCATGGAAATAGCCCGTGGGTATGCGCAGTTTCATGATCTGTCTTGCATGGCTCTTGCCTAGCATGAAAATAGCATAATGTAAAACTGTCTTAAGAGTGTACTGATACAATATTTGATAATAATTGCAAGGTAGATGGTTCCTTTTTTCTTTCACATCGAGTTATCACAAAGTCTTGATAATTGGAAAATCATGAAATACGTATAGAGGAAACATAAAACACGAATTAAAATTATATAATATTTGCAGCAGTTGGTCGTACCACAGAATACAAAAACGGGTTGGTGTATTGTTGGTGGATGTACTGTGACGACATAGAAATGTGATTGATGACGTACAAAGGATTTTAAAAGAAATAATTTATAGTTCAACAAAACCTACTCTATATTGACAGTTAGACAGTTTCTGCTGACGTTTTGATGTTTTTTGGTTATGTATGGCATATGTGTTAATGCATCTGTAAACGAATTTACAAACAATATTTAGAATTTATTAATGTTCCCAATATAATCATGCAAAATGGCTAGTGATGATGGAACCACTATTCTGAATTCAATAAGTAAAGACCAAACTGAGTGGGTACCTTTATCTTTAACATTAGTGGAATATCCAAAGGGTAAGTGAAAATCAAAAGAAATATTTTCAAAGTTCATTTTAGGCCCGAATCTAATGCTTTATATATACATTTTTAGGTGATTTATTTGGTAAATTTTTGGCTCTTATAAGTTTAGCTCCTTTCGGAATTGGTTCTGGATTCATAGCATTAATTTTATTTAGAAGAGATTTACACACAGTAAGTATTAAATATATTTTACTTTAAATAATACAGAGTACATTTCTTTGCATTTTTAGATTACTTTCTTCTTGGGTACAATAGTCAGTGAAGCTTTTAATTACCTATTAAAACACATCATATGTGATTCAAGACCTATCCATAGGGAAAACCATTATGTAGAATATGGTATGCCATCATCACATGCACAATTTGTATGGTTTTTTACAACATATGTGATATATTTTGTCTATATAAGGTAAGTAATATTTAATGTTAAGTCTGACAAAAGGCAGTTGTGGCCATAGATTAGTAGCTATAGTACTGGCACATACCAAATTGTATGGCTCAGGTTCATTCCCCAGCACCACAAATACCAAAAAATTTTCAAATTCCAATTTAACTAAGCACCCACTGCGCTTTGGAAGGCATGTAAAGCTGTCAGTCCTGACTAATATTGGTAGTTGTTAACAAAACCTGGAAAACCTGAGCTAGGTGCTTCTTTTCATGGGAGCTGTCTGGTACCCATTCCAGAATTTTGGAAACCTGTACCAGCATGTACAGGTCTAATGATGGGTACCATATATTTTGGAGTCACTTGGTGGTCACCAAAAAGTGTTTTCCACTGTAATTCAGTCCTATTAGCACATGTAGAATATAGATTTTGCAACATGTAGGACCACATGTTTTCCAAGTGAACATTATTTTGCCGTTGGATCCAGGCTTTTTCTGGTCAAGGATGAAGCTTTTTGATACTCTCACAGCTGAATCTGACACAGTCTCCATCAGCTCTTTCATTGCTGTATATTCCCTAGTGACCTGGAACCCATACCAGAGTGATCCTCTACTGAACTCATATTGCCTATGAATATTGTTTAACAATCTCAAATATATTTAATTTATCAAGACTAGCTTATGAAGAATTTTTTTATGATTTTAAAAATTGCAACTACACTGAACTTAATAACTTTTTGGGCTTTATAAATTGGTAGGATTGTTTCACTCACAATAATATTAATGTTTCAACTAATATGTTCTATGAAATTCTTTCACTGGGATTTTCCTACTTTATACCTCTGAAGAGATACAGAACAATAACTTTTCCTAAATAGTTTTCGCATGAACTTAGAATTTTGACATGTGAGAAAAAGTATGCTCACTCATTGTACATGAAATATCATACTGATAACAATTATAGTACATTTTCTCTTCTTAGGTCAAAATGCAAACATTTGTCTGGTATATGCTTTAATCAATATGTTACAATTAGCTCAGTTGAAAGACAATCCTTAATCATTTTGGAAATATGTTAAGTAATGATAAAAGTTCTAGTCAAAGTTCTTTATTAAATGCTATTTTACAGCAGCTTTACAAGGATTTGTAAAACAGCTAAATGTTGTTTTACAAGCATCAGTCTACTTTTAATGGGCAAGAAATTGCTAATTTGTTCAAGGACTTATTTTAAACTGTCTATGCACCTGGGGTTAATAACCTTCAGATTCCTGATATCCCCATCAATAACAATGTAAGCACAAATTATATATCTGAAATCACTCTCATTGATATTTTTGTGTTTGCACTGTTACCTTGCATTACATAATTTATTTAGTAATTCATTACAGTCATCTTTATTTCCACTTGTTTGGAAGGAGAGTTCTGTTGTACTGATATTCACAAATAAATGTGGTCAGAAATAAAACATTGAAAATTATCAAAGTATGTGCATTCAGTCTGTAATACCTAAATTATTTTATAGTTTAATAGCTAAACAGCTATCTTCATTGTGCAGTGGACTGATTTCAGAGTCTCAGTATGGTTTTGTGTAAAAAATCTACAGCTACTAATTTAGTTTGTTATCAGTCTAAGGTTATGAAGCATATGGAAGACCAAAAACAAGTAGATGCTATATATACTGATTTTAGTAAAGCATTTGATCATGTTGATTATCAAATTCTTCTTGCAAAATTGCTTTCTGTAAGATTTCATGTTCAGTTTGTTGAATGGGTAAAAAATTTGTTGTCAGGTTGTAGTCAAAGAGTTAAGGTTGCTGGTAATATTTCAGAGTCAATAATGGTCACCTCACCATTACCAATACAATAATTCTTTTTACACCCATTGCATTGCCAAACTGATCGGGAACAAGTATTCGCTGCAGTTTTCCTGTCATTTGACTATTATAAGGCCTTATAACACACAACACAATGGTTTTGTTTGTGGTGTACCAAAACATGTTCTAGTTGTTCTACATTATCTGCTTTTTTGTTCTCCATGTGGTCCACACGATGATTACCCAATAATAACCTTGCAGCTAACAGCTCTCTGTATTCCATTGTAATTGTTTTCTGTGTTACCTCCTTATATATTAGAAAGGAATTTACTAATGCACATCCAAAAATCAGTTCAACTGCTAATTTTCGGTATCACTTATTACCTCGTCTAAGGCAATGAGAGTAAGACTTGAGTTGATCTGATAAATCAATGTAGCTCTTGCACCTGTTGTAACTAATGACAGCAGTTGGTTTCTCTATTTCACCGCATCTGTTCTTTATTTTAGTGGTGTCTGCTTGATGTTTTGTCATAAGTATCATCACGTCACATTTGTCTTTCCACTTTAGCATTACTATACCAGGAGAACTTTCTTCAGTAACAATTTCATTTTTTTTTTAATTTACTATCAACCACTTTGGGAGAATTGAGTTTACGATTAGCTCTTACAGTGCCAACTAGGTGTGTATTTCTTTCTAATAACTTGGTTGCAAGACTCACACTTGTGTAATAGTTGTGGGTGTATAAAGTACGCCCACAGTCAAGTAGATTATCCATCAAATACAACACAACTCCTGCAGAAGCACTACCATCATCAGTCTTATCATTACCAAAATACACTTTGAAATTGTATGTGTACTCACCTATAGTACATAGTTTGTACAGTTTTTGGCCAAACTTGTGCCGTTTGTTCATTATATATTGCCTAAATTTTAGGCGTCCTCTAAATGGCACAAGTGTTTCATCTATGCATACTTCTTCACATGGCACTATTACTGCTTGAAACTGTTCAATTAGCTTCTCGAGAAGTGGAGTAATTTTTCTTAGCCGATCATTTACTAAAGATTGGTCATTATTGTCGCTAAAGTACCACATCTGTAATAGCTCTTCAAAACGATCTTGTCGAGACATTATGCTTTTTATCAAATTTGTATACAAAATTTCGTTACTCCAGTTACATCAATATTTGTTTGTTGTTCAACAGTCCTTGTTCCTTGAATTGAAATAGTTTTATGTGAACCAGATTCCAAATACATCTACAAAAAGTTTACCTGTTTATTGTTGACAAAATAAAAATAAGTTCAATCACTTACGGTTGCAGAAACCACATTAGAAGTAAAGTTTCTACGATGTCAGTTGGACAAGTCATAAAAACAAAATTCGACACTTAAGTGTCGGCGTCTTTGTAAAACATAGGCGGCGCAATAGCAATTAAATAATAAACTTTTATTTTTAAATTAAGGTCTAATATTTTGTTAAACAGTAATAATATTGTTAATTATTCACATTTCTTTAAGAACTTGACACCAAAGATGATTAAAAGTTAATACACAATATAGTCCATTCACTAACGGTAAAATATTGTAAAAACCTCTAAATTTTAAAGAACCACTGGGATTGACATGAAATTTGTCATACACAAATAGCTAACGTGTCAAAGAAAAAAAATGATATTGTGCCGATGTGTATTTTTGCCCTGGGGGTGAGTACCTTCTTATGGGGTGAAAAGATATACAGTCAAAATCGTTTACAACGACACCGGCTATAACGTACAATCGGATATAACAAACAAAATAGTAGGTCCCATAAAATGACATACAAAAAACGCATTTATATTGCTTATAATGAACAAATCGGTTAGAGCAAACGTATTTCTTGGAACACTAGTAGTTAAAATATTGGTTACAGCGTACATCTTAATTAATAAGTTTAAAAATGCTATCCTGTAAAGTTATGAAAATGGACATTGTAGTGTTGTATTTCTCACAGGTATTACCGATATTTAATACCGCGAAATGAGAAATAAGGATTTATTAATTTATGGTTATAGTACATCCGGACAGGCATCTACTGTCCTTTAGACAGTTAGACCTCCCAAGACGGGTCCATTGTATTACAAAATTTTGTTTATACATATTTCACCATTTGGCCTAAGCCAAGAGTTTCTGAATTTGAATTCAGTTGTGTCTAGCCTTCATTGAAAAAATGTCACGGAAACAATTTACTATTGAAGAACAGTTTGGAATAATTTGCCGAGTCGATTCCGGTGATTCCGCGAGTTCGATTGCCGGGAATTTAAAAACGTCACGCTCGACAATTGCTGGAATAATGAAAAGGCGAGAGAAAATTATTAAGCAATTTAATAAGTGTGAAAAAGGAAAACGTGTTCGGTCATCAAATTACAGTGACATTGAAAGTGCTTTGCTCGATTGGTTTAAACAACAACGCGCAAACAATGTACCAGTGAGTGGGCCGATGCTTCAGGTAAAGGCTGATGCTTTTGCTGTGATTTTGAAGAAGAATTTTAAGTGTAATGCTTCCTGAGTTCAACGTTTTCTAGCTAGCCACAATATTGTCCATGGAAAAATTTCAGGTGAGTCAGCAGTTGTTGACAGATCAATTATAAATGACTGGGTTGAAAATGTGTGGCCTACACTCAGGTCCGACTATAGCGATGATGAAATTTTTAATGCTGACGAGATGGGGTTATTTTTTAGACTGACACCTGATCACACGTTAAAGTTTCAAGGCGAGAAATGTTCCGGTGGTAAACCCTCAAAAGAGCGTGTTACAGTTCTTGTTGCAGCCAACATGTCCGGTTCCATAAAAAGGAAGCTTTTGGTGATAGGAAAAAGTAAAATGCCGCGCTGTTTTAAAAACGTGAAAAATCTCCCTGTTGATTATGATTTCAATAAAAAAGCCTGGATGACGTCAGCTATTTTTGAAAAGACTACTAAAATGGGACAGTGAACTTTTACAACAAAAGAAACACATAATATTAATTGTCGACAACTGTCCGTCCCACCCCCCAGTTCACAGGTTAAAACAAATTAAACTCGTTTTTCTGCCTCCAAATTGTACGTCTGTACTGCAGCCCATGGACCAAGGAGTTATAAGAAGTCTTAAAGCATGCTTTAGGAAAGAATTGGTGTACAAAATCATCGAAAAGAGAGAGAATAACGACGATACGAAAGTCAGTATTCTTGACGCTGT